AAAAGGAGCTCATTGAACTAACATATTCAGAATAATGGAAGGCAAATTATACCGAATTAGGGAAAAATCTGGATGGTAACTAAAGATAAATCAACAACTATTTTAAATTGTTGAATGCCATTGCTGAGGAGATTTAAGTGTTTGAGAGAGAGATGAAAATTGCATGTATACTCTGCTTCCCGCTTTTGGTTTTATATATTTATGTGAATAAATTTTTTCTCGTATAAAAAATACTTTTAGTCTGCCAAGAAGTTGTTTAACTACTGAATTTAGAATCGCGTCAAACTGAAAGTCTCAAAATATACCCTTGATATTGCGATATGAAACAGAGCGGTGCACGGACAAAATTCGCATAAAAAATCATTCTATTAACTGCAGTGAAGGAACACTAACACATTTTATGTTGCCTATTTCTCATTTTAATAAATATGTTTAAAAGATACAAAATTAATGCACAATTTGAATTTTCTATTTATTTTGATAGAATAGCCATATTTAGTTGTTTATATTTATATAAATAAATATCATTTTTAAATGATGCATAATTTAATGTATGATAAAATTTTAAATCTGTATTCTCTATTTCTTAACTCTGCATGCATTGTCTGGGTAACCGAATTGTTTCATATATTGCCTACTATGTGGCATCATGAATCGGATTAGTAAATTCACACACCACAGCTACGAAGTTACCGATCCCTGTTATAAAAAATCTCGCATACGAGATGGGCCATTAACATTGGGAGCCTTGGATAAACAGTACCTTAAAACCAGCCCGATTAATTCAATCGAATTTATTTACACTCACATATACAGAGAAAATTATAGACTAGATACTAAATAACTTTTTAGTTAAATGTGATACGCATGGATAAGCAATATTTTTTATTTACAGTTGTATCGGTTTATAATGGTTATTTTACAACGGAGTAAATTCACAAAATTGTAAAGCAGAACTTCTCATTGGACTGTATGAATTATTATTTATTTTCTCACACAATATATATAATGGGATTGCACCCAAAAAACGTATGGCTAACACAGCGTCACAAGTAATTCTTCCTTTAATTTAATTAAAAGCTTAGTTCTCTTACTTTAAAGTAAATATTTTTTTAACAATTAACAGTGACGGATTCAGGCTCAGACCGGGCTTGGGGCTCCAAAATTTTTGAAGCGGTTAAAATTTAAAATCGTTTTGGTTTTTTTATCAACTAGTATATATATTTAAGTCATGCCTAATTCCAATACTTATTCGAATCCATTATTACTATTTGTATTATTATTATATATAAGGGCGTCAAATTAACTTGGGCCTAGGGAGCCACCGAACCTAAATTCGACACTGACAATGGACAAGTTTCCAAAGTCATTCTTACTTCACAGATTGGAGTTTAGAACCAAAAAGGGCTCTCACTCATCAACAATTCATTTCCTCCCTTTTCTAAACCACTCTCACATTCCCCCCGAGTCCCCTTTGGTCAATGACCTCGCACTTCCTGTGGGGTGGAGGGATTCATTTCCCCTCCATTGGAACCTTCTGCTTTGGAAAGCCAACAATAGTGATAACGCATTTATTCGAATCGAAGCCGCACTTTTTTTCCAATGTAAAAATGCTACTGAAAATCGGAGGCGATGCAGAATCGAAGGCGGAAAAATTCGTTGGATGGGAGAAATTGAATATGATATTCAGACGGTCAGAGCAGTAACAGGTTCTGGTTCAAAAGTTTTTAATGCTAATAAAATAAACTAATTATTCACTCCTTATTAGTTCCCATTTATAATTTTTTAATTTCTTAAATATCGGACAGCGATAAACTTTTTTATACTATTTTTTTTTATTTTTCCACAAAACTTGGGTGGCTTAGATTTTAATAATTACAGCAGTGAGAAAAACTGGTTAGAACTAAAATGCTTTATACACTAATTTCATTGTAATATACAAAAAGACTCTCAGACTACGAATAAAAATTAAGGAGAAAAAATTATATTCTTTAAATGAGAGAGAGAATAAAACAGACAACGAACGAGTTTAATAATATAAGCATATTAGTCCATTAAAGAATAACTTTTCGCCCATATTTATTCCACTGTAATTTTTTTTACTAATCATTATTCTGTAATTCTTTATAAATGTTTATGTAAATAATTCATAAAAATCTTTTTCGATCATTTTATATTTTCTTTTCTGTATTTTAATATGGTACATACTATAGAAGGATTATTTCTCTTGAAACTGGTTGTACTTTTTATAATTTATTTTTCAAAATTTTCAACTTAATGTAAATTTAAAATCTGAAGAGGAAATATTTTGTTGGGAAATTGACTAATTGCGAAGTTAAATAATCTCAACAAACGATTCATTTTTATATATCAATGGGAATGAATGCAATTTTGTATGCACTATTTATTAACTATAATCGTATGGCCTTTCAATTTGAAGACGAAAGCTGCAACGTAAAATTTGGAAATGGTTAAATTTGTAAAAAAATCGAATTATAAAATCGTCTGAAATGAACATGATTACTGCCGTAAAAATAAACTAATAAAAAATTACCGTATTTACTCCAATCTAAGCCGCCCCCAATCTTCTACTCGTTTTTGAGAAGAAAAAAAAACGAAAAATTGTGTAAAAGGTTCATAGACATCTGATACTTAATAAATTTAAATAAACATATTTGAATGAGAAATAATAATTAATTTATTTGACCAATATTAAAAACTTTCAAATACATACATGAACCTATAATTACTCTAACTGCCAATATCATGTTTCGAAAATGATTTGTCATTCCCATTGTCATAGCTGACTTAGGAATGGATGCCGGTGTTGCCATTTTCCCACAAGATATCGTCTTCATACCCTCCACTGTACTTGTTACTTAAAATTTTTTTTAAAAGAAGAATGCAAAAAAATTATTGAAGACTGTTGAACATTTACAAGAAAAAAATTATATTTGTTTACGCCATCATTGTACATTTGTTTATCCCTAACAAATTTTATGTGGTCGATGCTCTGTTTCCGTTTTTTTTCTGCATGTAAAATTGCCTTCCTTTTCATACTTACGTCATAGTGAACTCGTTTTGATGTTATAACCAATATCTTTATTGTATAGGTGATTAAAAGAAAGTCTAAACAAAAATTTTTTCTAAATACAGGTAAGCAACGATGTTTAGGATAGACTGGAGATAAATTGTGGAATTGAATAATTCGTCAATGCAAGTGGCCAGAATGGACGGTTACATTTTTTCTTTTGAAGGGGGTGAAAACGCAATTTCGCCCATTCTAAGCCGCACCCGATTTTCAGTAGCACTGGGAAAATGATGTGGCCTAGATCCGAGTAAATACGATAATTATAATGTATATAATAATGATGGAAACCGCAGTACCAAATATTGAAAACCAAAGTAACCATATTGTATTGTTATTACCCTACTTAGTGAATATTAACAATAACTTGGCGCATAGCGTACTATTATCATATTAGTGCCTTTCCTCGAAATACACACACACACACGTACTTATGCGATATATAAAGAGATAAAAAGTTAGTCTATAAATCCGTCTTGAAATCTGTGAGACCTATCGAATTTGGTGTTCGAGGATTTTCCATTTTCAGTTATTGCTACAGACATTGCTCAAGACATCAACATATTTTTTAACTAAATCTAAAAAAAAAACCACGATAAAATAAAATAATAAACAGTAAACATGAAAACGTGTTGATATCAATCTGAATTATGAATGCAAAAGAGTTACAAAGTTAAAAGTCGAGATGATACATGATTTCATAAATATAAAAAAAATGGAGGGGAAAGAAAAGGGGGCGGAGAGAGAAAAGAGAAACTTTATGTGGCACAACATGAGGGGAAAAGTAAACAATCTGCAATGTGCTTTTGGCCAAAGAAGGACAACAACAAGGTCGATAAAGTCAACAACCTTTAGAATGCTTTACAAAAAGTAAGCAAAACAAGTAAAAAATGTTTTTATTTTGGTATCCGCACATTCCGAAATCACATTTACTTTTAAAAATAATAATATAAGATTTAATTCAGATTCAGAATTAAAATAAATATTAATCTATGATGATAAATAAAAAGTTTAGGAATTATTTCTTGCAATAAATTTTTATAAATTAGTGTACGACAGTTTTTATCTCCAATATTATAAATTATAGTAAATATACTGACAGCCACAAAAATTTTTAAAAAATAACGATAATGAACATTATATTTAAGTTCATAGCTTTATGTTATGCAATCAAATATAACTTAAAAATATTAAAATCTCTAAAAGCAGAAATAAAAAGACAAAATATTCTCTGTTACTTAAAAGCAATTACCTACAAAATGTAAGCATCAAGAGGAATTCAAAATCAGATGTTTTTATTATAAAATGTTATTTTCAAATAGTCACCTAACATTTTCGAAAAACTGAGAAAGATAGTTAAAAATGAAACATTTAGATCTCGTAATAATTCTGAACTCATAAATAAAAATAAACATCTGACTTAAAAATCATTTAATTCCTTTTTTGTTTTCTTTAAAATAACCCAGCATTGAAAAAAAAAATGGAGAATATTATTTATCACTGAGTTATATTTCAGAAGAAAAAAAAAATATTTTGCTTTGTTCTGTAACTGTCTTCGAATTACAAATATGCTAAGAAGAAATACGTTTCATCATTCGTACACTTTTTCTTCTTCGTTTCGTATTTAATCAGTTTAAAATTCGCCTTTTTTCAATTCCTGCTATTAGTTCACTCTCTCATATATATATATATATATATGTATATCTTGTTCACAAATTTTCAACGTTCATAAAATACTTTCTATTCATCTATTCACATTCAAATACATTTTTTTACACTTGTAATGGATGACACTTAATGTTAATACATTTTTTCAAATATTAATTCATTAATTAAATTAAAAAATGAATAAATAGTATGAAACAAAAATAATAGTCCAACAGCATATATAGAAAGGACAACCGCTTGTTGTGTTCTTGTAGCGCAACGGATAGCGCTTTGAACTTGTAATCCACAGATCGTGAGTTCGAATCCCACCTGGAATGGTCTAATTTCTGAGAATGGGATTTTTTTTTACTGTACTATTTTATTAGAACAATTAAACAAACAAAAACATAGTCCAACACCATATATAGAAAGGAAAATGGCTTTCTATTTTGTCACTTAATATTGTCATACTGCCATATGTATATACATATTTATATTAATTGCAACTATTTAATAAAAAGTAACTAAAATAAAATTTTCCTTTGTTAACCTAGGTAGGAATAGAGACTTAAACTTTTTTTTAATATTAATTGCTAAAGATTATTTTACGCTGCTGTTAAAAATTCGATTTCGTATTTTCCTCTTAACACATTTATACTAGAAACGTTCAGCATTTTCAAATTGTTAAGCATTAGCGAAGTGAATAACACCCATGAATAGCTTAAGAATGTGTTAAAAATAACTTATATAAAAGCTAAAAATGGACAATTAGTAAAATTGCAAATTAAATCAGTTTTATCCACAAATGCTTAATTTTACTATTCAAACTGATCTAGTTGTTTGGTAGGATATAGATACATTGAAAGGACAAGAAATATGGAATAAACTCACCATTTAAGTTTACCTTATAAATAATTGAACACATTCCACACGGCAAAATTCTTAAATTCAAGATTTTTTTAAAAAAAATTTAGTAAGTATATCATATATATATTCAAGGGAAAGAGCTGCTTATCTTCAATCTAAAGAATCCTAAAAGAAAATGAACGAAGATGTCCAAATTCATAATATTTATAGTGATAAAAATATTGAAACTTCTACGTCATAAAGACTGCTTGAAACCAGATAAAACGATTTAAGAAAAAATAAAAATAAATGCACGTTGCCTTGGATTCGATGAGAGTCAACTTTTAAACATTCCTCATACATGTACACAAACGTCAATCACAAATTTGAAAATCTGAAAAATAAAAACTTGGCTCTTTTCCGAATACCATTTCATTCAACAAAATTCAAAATCACACACACAAATGCCCATTGACGTATCAAATAACTCAGTAAACATAAGTAAAGTAGAAGTACGGATATCTTTCAAAAGGACAAGCCAAATATTGTGATTTATGTAAAACAAAAATTTATCCTTTAACATGTTCGCTGCCAGTAAAATTGATATGTCCATCCTCAGAAGCCGAATTACAAAATAGTGTTTAGATGATTAAAAACATTCCTTATATTTTAGTAGTAAAAACAGAATAACGAAAAAACCTTTTATTTCCATGTATTCTCTTTCTTTTCTAACTTAACTCATTGGCGCAACAGCCCATGAGGGCCAAGGTCTACAGTGCCCAACTCAGTATACAAGACCTAGGGCTCTGAGGTACACGAGCTCTTTCTTTTCTGGTAATTCTAATATTTCGGCTTTAATCAATTTTTTATTTACTTTCCTTTTCTTAGGCTGTGAAGGCACTACAATACTTGTAATGTCTGCCATTTTTAAAAACGGATAAAAAAAAAATTTAAGCACAAAATTTAAATTCTAATAAAATATAAAAATAAAAGATAAAATATAAAAATAAAGCTTCACCACCATGGCTTAAAAATCTCTTCGTTCTGGCGCACGGAAACCCCAAAAATGAAATTGCGCGAAATAAAACAACAACCCCCAATTTATGGTCCTTTTGAGTTCCCTAGCCATGTGGTAAACAGTTTTTGTCAGTACACGAAAGGAAATCGTCAACAATTATCGGCTTAGATCGGGTTTGCTCTTGTTACAATTCTTGCTCATTTTACAGTGCAAGTTCTATCATTCAGTCTGAAAAGGATTTTGCAGATTTTAGCGGTTTTTTAAAAAAAAAAAAAATAGATACCCCATGAGTTTGCAGATTTAAGCGGTTTTTTTTTAAAAAAAATAGATACCCCATGAGAAAGTAATTTCTTGATTTGACTTCCAAATTAGGTTCAGGTTCGATTAAAAATTGTAAAAACATAACATTTAACACAGCATGTAACTCCTTCTAACATATGTCAGTTTTTTGTGTTTAAAGGACTAGAACTTTTGGGATTGACACGGATTGATCCCAGTAACACTTAAGTCACATAGAGTAGAAAAAACCTTTAACTAAGTACCAAATTTAGCTGCTATTTCCTGTTACTCCCAAAGTTATGATTTTTTTTTCACCGTTGGCCGATGGTATTACTCGGCGTGCCTTATTCAATGTATGGAAGGAAGAGCAAGATACTAGCGCAAAACTTATGTTGTTTTGAGTTTAGTTAGGACAATAACGGATTTTGATAAATATGAGGACCAGCAGCAATTAAAATTTAGAAAAATTGTTAAAAATTTCTGCTCGTTTTTAAGGGGAAAATGGATGAGGTGCCATAGAAATGAAAAGTTCTCAAGTCGAATGATGCGTGGTTGTCGGGGGAGTAAGAATTATATTTGATTATTTTTAAGGAAAATATATAGCTAATGTTTTAGTGTGGTATTTTATATTTATTTAAACTTATAATAATTATTTTTTCAGAATTATAAACTTTAAAAGGATTTTTCTCATTTCGTGTTTTTTCGCATTCAAAATACTACTTCTTCCACAATTATTTACGAATCCTTTCCATTTTTTCCCTGTGTCTTATATGTATTGCTTGTAACAAAATAAAAAATCCATATTTCTGTAAATTGTAAACTTCTTTTTTAAAAAAAAAAATTGAAATGTGGGAAATATCAGGCTTTGGGGGGAATTTTAGCACATATATATCTCAACATTTTATTATTTTTTCCCTCTAAAACTAATTAAGGTATTTTAAAATCGATCCCTAAAGGTGTTTAAAACATCCTCAGGAATTTTTTCAAAAATTTCACGTAAAAAAATTAATTAACACAAAAAGAGTAAAATTTTAAAAATTTCCAAATTTTTTTAAAAGAAATTTAATTTGTAAAATTGTGTGAATAACATGTGCAAAATTTTATCTCGTATCATTTTCTTAAATAAACATTATATGAAATGCTAAAATGTAGTTTTTAAATACATAAATAATTGTATTTGTTTAATCTTTAACAATATACATAAGTTTCATTTAATTTTTTTAACTTGCCACACTATTTCTAGTTTATATTCTCCCACGAGTAAATTACTGCTTCTGTCCTTGCTTGCTCCTTAGATCCTTGCTTAAAAACTAGTTTCACTTAGCGATCATTTATTCTTGATCAAATTCAAACTGGACATAAATTAGTTAAGACCCTATTAACCTTATTTGTTAGTAAAAAACAGAAAAGAATACCCAATTTACATTAATTACTATTGCTCCTTAAATATAATTATGAAGACTTTAAGGCCATAAAATAATTTCCGTGCGCCAGATTGGGAAAACTGCCCACTGTGCGGCGTAAGCATACGATGCGGTTGAAAATTATTTCCAATCATACCCAATTCATTTTTTTTCAGGATATAAGTTACTATTGCGTATTTACTAAGATAACATGCCAGATGTTACACATCATATACGACCAGTGGCGCAGACAAGGGGGGTTCCTGGGTGTCCGGAGCCCCCCCCAAAGCCCTTAATTTTTTTTCCGATTGATTGTAATTCTAAGTATATAGTACGTAAAATTTAATTAATTACTTGTTATTAATGATTAATTTTATTAATTAATGCTAATTATTTATTCAAAAATTAGTTTTTTACTATGTTTTGTCCCCCAAAATCGACAAAATCAAAAGGAGCATGATACAAGAATGGTGAACTTTCGACCCCAGACCCCCCCCCTTGGAAAATTCCTGTGTGCGCCACTGTATACGACTACTGTAGGGCTCGTTTCTTTTTTAAATGTTCTTTATCTTATAGCGTAACCCCCCATTAACCTTTATGTTGCGGCTCTCGTGAAATACTTGTGATAACTATGTGGCCCGCTGGTAAAAATGGTTGAGTACCAATGGTTTAGGGCGATCGAATTGACTTGTTTGCGCACGTTAAGGGTTTAGTGTAGTGATTCTCAACCTTTTATTTATTTTTTTGTTGCAGCACACTTTTAACGATTTCAGAATTTGTCGGCTCATTAACAATAAAATAAGTTTGAAAGAATTTTTCTTATCTGTCATACGCTATGCAAAATAGTTAATGATAATAATTCTCAGTGTTAAATAAAATAACATGCATGAAAAAGACAACAAAATGTTTATTGAGTATTTAATTACAAATTAATTATAAGCATACATTTACTGGGAAATTTGAGCTTGAGGATTTTTGATAATTTCGTTTATATTGGGTAGTTAAAATGATAATGCCACTCTCATTTCATCATCGACATTTAAAAATCTCTCTGTCATAATAGGTAACGGTAAAAAAGAAGTGCATTGCATGCGAAATGGTTTATGTGACGTTATTAATGCCAAGGGAGTTGATGCCACTAAATATGAACTGCTTATAATGATTTACATATTCGAAAGGATTTTATTATTTTGTGCACAATTTTTTTTCATTTTTACATTTGTTAATGCCAAAAATTAGAATTCTCGCAAATATGATGAAGAAAATTATATCAATATTTTTAAAGCTCTTTTAGCTATTATGAGGTAATCACCTCTAATTTTAATACGAAATGTATTAATTGACTCTTCCGAATGTTTAGAAATTAAATCTGGCTTATTAGAGTTTGAAATTAGTTTTTCCTCTTCACTCAAAATTAATTCATACACAGATGTATCCGTGCACAAATGGATTACGAACCCAATCAAATTTTTTTTACTATATCCTTTTATCCATGAAAGGATAAGTTAAACATAACACAAATACCCTATCGATATCAGATTTTATTTTTCTCACAGAGTATAACTAATCATTTAAAAAAATATTTGGCGGCACACAAAAGTTCCGCGGAGCAGGAGTTGAGAATGGTTAAGTGATTAAATTCCCCTAAGCATTCAGGCGACGAATTCGACCTCGAACTGGCACTACCAAATTACTGGCAAGGGGAATTTTCTGTTTAATATCAGCTCATTACATTCTTATATCGTCTTTCACGGAATCATCATGAAAAAACTTTTTTGTTTTTGTTCCTAAT